ATATGTTGTTGAGGGGCCAAAGAAAGACTTCAGACTAAAAAAAATCCCAAATTCTTCCTATTATTCTTGGATCAGGCTTTAAAATAAAGTGAACATAGAAGTTTTTGTTTTTCAGGTATTGACCCTTCAAAGCCTGATCCAAGAAAAATAGGAAGAATATTGGATTTTTTTAGTCTGAAGTCTTTCTTTGGCCCCTCAACAACATATGAAGAAAAAAAAAAGTCAAAAATATATTTTCAGATATGACACATACGGCATTATAGGGTTAATGTAAAATAGAAAAACAACCACAACTTCTATCTTCAGTCTATTTTAAAGCCTGATCCAAGAAAAATAGGAAATAATATTGGATTGAGATATATCTGATAACAGCCAGTAGAAGACTACACCAACATACATTTTTTACTTATTGCAAGCTAATTTGATCAAATTATTTCTGTTTTTTTTTCTTCATATGTTGTTGAGGGGCCAAAGAAAGACTTCAGACTAAAAAAATACAATATTCTTCCTATGCGGGGGGGGGGGGGGGGGGGCACCGCTTTGGCCCGCCTGACCTGGAACATCACCTGAGGGGAGGACCACAACAGGGAGGAGATAGAAGCTGTTGTTGTTTTTCTATTCAATTCAATTCAATTCAATTTTATTTATATAGCGCCACATCACAACAACAGTTGTCTCACAGCTTTCCAAACAGAGCAGGTCAGACCCTACTCTGAAGTTAATTACAGAAACCCAACAATTCCCACCATGAGCAAGCACTAGGCGACACAGGCAAGGAAAAACTTCCTTTCAACCCTTTAAAGACTGAAGCCTGATCCAAGAAAAATAGGAAGAATATTGTATTTTTTTAGTCTGAAGTCTTTCTTTGGCCCCTCAACAACATATGAAGAAAAAAAACAGGAATTATTTTGATCAACTTAGCGTGTAATAAGTCAAAAATGTATGTTGGTGTAGTCTTCTACTGGCTGTTATCAGGTATATCTGAATCCAATATTCTTTCCTATTTTTCTTGGATCCAGCTTTAAAGGGTTAATCTACCTATGCAGATGAAAGTTTGATCACAATAGACTGAAGATGGAAGCCGTTGTTGTTTTTCTATTTAACACTAACCCTATAAAGCCAAATGTGTCATATCTGATCCGGTTTCTTTTGGATCTGAGACTTTTTGCATCATTCAGTGGTAAAAGCTTTGCTCAAACCCCTGTTGTACACATTCAGAAATACCTGATAACAGCCAGTAGAAGACTACACCAAAACACATTTTTGATTTATTACACGCTAATTTTATTATATTATTTCTGTGTTTTTTTCTTCATATGTTGTTGAGGGACCAAAGAAAGACTTCAGACTAAAATAAACCAATATTCTTCCTATTTTTCTTGGATCAGGCTTTAAAATAGACTGAAGATAGAAGCTGTTGTTGTTTTTCTATCTAACCCTTTAAAGCCAGTTGAGGGGTCAAAGAAAGACTTCAGACTAAAATAAAAATCCAATATTCTTCTTATTTTTCTTGGATCAGGCTTTAAAGGGCTAAAGCTGCTTTTAGTGCTTTTAAAGTGGTTTTTGGCCTTTAAAGCTATTTTTTGGGGCTTTTAAAGCTATTTTTGGGGGGCTTTTAAAGCTGTTTTTTGTGCTTGTAAAACTGTTTTTTGGGGGGCTTTTAAAGCTGTTTCGGGGCCTTAACCCTATAAAGCCAAATGTGTCATATCTGATCCGGTTTCTTTTGGATGTGAGACTTTCTGCATCATTCAGTGGTAAAAGCTTTGCTCAAACCCCTGTTGTACACATTCAGATATACCTGATAACAGCCAGTAGAAGACTACACTAAATGCTAGAAGCTGTGAGTCGGTGAACCTGAGTAGCCCCCCCCCCTGGTCCCGTACCTTGTCGTTGATGGTGGGGCAGAGCTGGATGAGCAGGAACCGGTAGGTGACCACGGGCAGAACGCACAGGATGGAGGTCAGGACGATGGTCAGCCACACACTGGGCTGACTCAGGGAGTTCCTGGCTGTGCCTGGAGCAGTTCAAACACAGATAAGGCCTGTTTTAGTACCCCAAAATACTCACGAAACTGCCTATCCATTATAGGGTTGTCAAAAGTTTGGATACTAAAATGTTGTATCCAGATACGATACTCATTTTCAAAAGTATCGATACCACCGCCCCTTCTCTCTGATTTATTTATGTAGTTATTTACGTTGTTTATGATCATTAACAAAACATTAGCCTTGCTAGCTGCGGCTAATGGCTAATAACAACATGCTACCAATCAAGTACATATCCAACTCCGCCCACATCCAAGTCGGCCATTTTGATTAGGTCACCAATAGGAAGATCCCAGGCAAGAAAATCCTAATTGCTTCATGGCAATATAGACATTAATTTAAAAATAGTTAAATGAATCTTTCAAACATTTAATTAAACTCTATCCATAATATTATGTTAAAATAGTGGATGTTAAATAGGTTTGGACAATAAGTCACATTTATGAAGGCTGGAGGGTTAGGGTTAGGGTTAGGGTCAGGGTCATTAATGTGGGCCACCATAACATCAGTAACAGGTCAGTTTGAAATGAAAGACACAATTCAGTTACATTTTGGGGTCTTTGTTTTTATCCTTGTGGTATCGAAAATGGTATCGAGTATTTTCCTGAGTATCGGTATCCAGTTGAAAATTTTAGTATCGTGACAACCCTACTCCATTAGCACAAAACGAAGAAAAAAGGCTAAAAAATCAACTTATCCTGTTCCCAGTCTTCATGCCTACTAAAAGGCAAAGGAAGTTTATTCTACAGCACATTTCAAAGTGCTTCATGGAGAATTTAAAAGCAGAAAAACTAGAAAAAAATAAAATAAAATAATAAAAACTACAAAAAAAAGGCTGTTCCTGCAGAACAGCTGTGAGAAAGCAAAGTGCTTAATGGAGGAAGAAGGAGAAGCCAAAGAAAAGCTGAAAAAGACATAGAGTGGAAGAAAAAAGGCTGAATGGAGGAATAATTTTAAAGAGCTAAAAACTAAAGAGTGGAAGGAGAAAGGTAAAAGGATTAGAAGAAGAGTAAAGAGTAAAAGGCCATACATTTATAGATAAGGTAAAAGAAGATTTGAACCAGCAACTTGTTTGGTTCCCAGTCTTCATGCCTCCTAATAGGCAAAGCAAGTTTATTTTACAGCACATTTCATGTACAAGACAATTCAAAGTGCTTCACAGAGAATTTAAAAGCAGAAAACTAGAAAAGAAAAATAATAAAAACTAGAAAAAAGGTGTGAGAATGCAAAGTGGTGAATGGAGGAACCAGAAGAAGCAAAAGAAAAGCTGAAAAAGACAAAGAGTGGAAGAAAAAAGGCTGAAGGGAGGAATCATTTTAAAGAGATGAAAACTAAAGAGTGGAAGCAGAAAAGTAAAAGGCCATAAAATTATAAATAAATAAATAAGGTACAAGAGGATTTGAGTGGGATTTAAACCAGCAACTTCTGGATCTGGAGTCAAAGGCTCTACCACAGGCTGAAGTTATACCAGTGACCAGCAGAGGGAGCCATATATTTTGCTCCATTCATTTCAATGAGAGGAATAAGGCATAAAAGGTTAAATATCTTAAAAAAGATGAAAAGATTTGAACACCAAAAGTCATAGATGCATTGTCCTGACATAGCTGAACATTTTGATACCTTATTTGTTGAAATAGGCTGAAACTATAATTTGTTCAAATATTTAAATTAGCTAAAAAATATACAGTTTAATTTATTGACTAAAATTTAAGATCTTTTACATTGGATGGAAAAAATAAGTTACTATAAATTGTTGTATTTAAAAAAATATATAAATATATTTTTTGTTAGAACATGGTGGGAAATATTTTATTTAAAAAGGGCTAAAA